GGGGGAGGGACATACAAAGCAACAAAGAATGAGTTAGAAACAAATGCATGAAAAAAACATTAAAATACATATCTAAAGGTTCATTTTCCTAACATCACATTATCTGACCTTTTCCGCTTGACTCATACATATACTAGATATTGCAAATAAGGGAAACCATGGGACCTATGTTTCTTTGGGCCTGAGAAAAGCCATTCATTTTTGAGGGTTAATTTTATACCCTTCTACTTTGCCAAATTTTCAAATCAGGTTGAGTAATTTGGGAGTAGAGTCTGTGGGGTTCTTTAAATACATGATCATGTCATCTGCAAAGAGGGAGGGTTTTACTTCATCTTTCCCTATTTGGATCCCTTTTATGTATGTAATGCATTTTTATGTGTGCAATGCACACATTGGTACTTACTAATTATGCATACAATAGGTTAAAGTGGTATTTTGATACATGTGTACAATGTATAATGATCAGGTTGTGGTAATTGGTCTACCGCCACAGGCGTTTATGATTTTTTTTTTTGTTGCTGAGAATATTTAAAAATCCTCTTGACTGGTGGTTTTGAAATATTCAATGAATTGTTGTCTGCCATAGTTATCCTATTAATGATGTTACAGAATATTGAACATTAGAAACTCTTCCTCCTATCAAGTTGCACCTCTTTCCTCATTAACCATAATCTTTAGATCCTCCCTCCTTTATACCTTTTCCAGGCTCTGATAAGCACTTCATCATTGCTTAGATAAAAAAAATAAGTAATTGAGGATTACAAAAATGAGAATTTAAGTGAAATTGACAGTATGCGTTGTAGGAAATTGAGTCAAATCTTATTTAGTTAGAGGAAGAAAAATTAATCTGATACACGTAATTCAATTCATGCAATGTTGAGAATTTTTTCTCATTACCAACTGATCTCAAAATATACTTTGAAGATATTGTATCAAATATCTGCAATCTGATGCAAAACACACATTCTGTATTTGACAGGTATAATTGAGAAGAGCAGCAAGCTCAAAGTGGATAACCTAGTTTTCAATGACTGTAGTCCTGATTAAAACCTATATTCCCTTTTTCATTTTTATTGACCTATATTCATTGCACACAGTAATGGGTTTCATCATGACATTTCCATGCTTACGTGCCATGCACTTTGATCATGTTTGTCTCTCCTATAACTTCCTTGCCCTCCCCACTTTTCCCTGTCATGGTCTTGGGCCTTGGTTTATTTTTGTTGTCATTGTTGTTTGCTGTATTCTTTTATAAAATTTTGAAAACCTTGGGCGGGATTACCTTGGGAAAGAGTGAAAAAATAAAAGTACTTGAAATGGTTTGAACAGGAGAACGTAATATATTTCGACAGTAGGCTGTTGTGAGCATTGAAGGGCGAGACATAGGAGAAGGGCTCACGTGGAGGTGGACTTCAGAATCTTAATTTTCCATAATGTATGAACTTCTTTTCAAGTCATAGAAACATGTGTTCATGGACTTTTCCTACACACCATCAATTGTTTTCTCCAACAATTAAAAAGAGACAGCAGTGTATTGAGTTCTGCACTATCACTATCATTTATAGGAGGCTGGAAAGACTTGAACGAGCAGTTCAAAATTATGACTTTTTCAAGAAGAAAGCAGCATTGCTAGGTGTTGACTCACACCTAGAATCCTAGTCTATGATCTGAGGATTGTGGTTTGAAGCCAGCCCAGGCAGGAAAGTGTTCTGTGAGGCTCATATCTCCAATGAACCACCTAGAAACTGAACGTGGAAGTGGTAGACTTGAGCTGCGCCCCTCCCACTAATGGTTTCAAACCGCCATTCAGGCTCCTCCCCCAAGCTGCCGCCTCTCCAATCCCTAATAGCATGCCCCACCCCATTTCGGTGGCGTGCCCCGCCCCTTTTGGCCGCATGGCACGCCCCTCTGGCGGCGCCCTGTGGGATGCTGACGTCAACTGCTCAAAGCCCTGCTCTGGCTGGTGGCCTGGTCTGTGGCACGGTGTCCCATGATGCCCCGCCCCCTTCAGCAGGCTGGGCCACAGGGCCATGCTGGCTATTGGGCCCCACGGGTTTTAACAATTACAAGTAAGGGAAACCATGGGACCTATGTTTCTTTGGGTCTGGCTTACTTCACCTAATATACTTTTTCCCAAACCTTTCCATTTCCTAACAAATGGAGCGATGTCATTCTTACTTTTTTTTTTTTTTTGGATAAAGTATGCGTCTTGTTTGTCAGCATTGCCCACTGTTATATAGCAAGATAAAAAATACTGAGAACATAACTTACAGAACTCTGCGGGGAGAGGCGGCTGTGATGTCATAGATCCCTGAAACTTCTGAAAGTGACAGCTAGCTTATAGCAAAGACTGAACCACAAAGATGCCAGCGCGTGAGGTGGGATCCAACAAGAATGTAACACAGAATGAAATAGCTGGTGAAGTACATCATTAAAGCAGCTCGCAAGAACAACTCTTAATGAAGGAAAGCAAAGGCTTAATTACCTGGTGCATTTTTGATTCTTGATGATTCATTACTTGTTGATTAATCAATCTGAAATTCATCAGTCTTAGAAATGGAAGAAAGAAATGAATCTGATCAGTCTATCTCCTCAGGGAGGCAAGAAATTCGGAAAAGAAGACGACCTAGCCAACCAATGGTAGATAAAAGCCAGCAGACAGAAGGAACAGAGAAAAAGAAACACATGCCTGGGCCACCATCATCTGGCCCTAAAGCTACCCTCAGTTCTGGAAGTATTCCTGGAAGCAAAGACAAGTACTGTGAATCTCTAAGAGTATCTTGTCAGCTTCAGAAAACATGGGTGAAGCGAAAGCATGGGCTGGAAATGACAGATCAATCTCTGCAGACAGACACTGTTGTAGACAAGAAAAAGGAAATCAAGTCGGTGGGACCTGAAGAAAAGCCAGCCAATGGTGAAGAAGCAGCCCTTGACTTGCAAGAGACAGTCGAAGAAGTAGAAATGTCAGCAAAAAGAAGACTAATAAACAGATCTCAGCAGACCAGCTGTACTGGAGATTGGAGCATGATGAATATTCCCTCCAAAGGAAAAGAGGACAAGGAACAGCAGACCTACTTCGATGACTTTGAAATAACATATTTTACCAGAAAAGGCAGTTGGAAGGAAGGTGTTGATAAATACAAGCCCTCAGGAGAGATTGCTGTTAGTGAACATACTGAATTTCAACCAGTGACAAGTAGCCAGGAAGAAATTCAGATGAAAAGTATCAGTGGAGTTCCATTTACTCAGGAAAAGGACAAAGGCTCCCGAGTACCTTCAGAAGATGCCATTAGGCAAGTGGTGACCGGATGTATTGTGGATCATAGTGCTAGTCACGAAGAAAGAGCTACTGCTGAAATAGAGTCCCTGCCAAGAGAAAGCATCAATTTTGAAATCCAGGCTCTACCATCTAAGGAGGCTGAAATAGAAGAGGCCCTTTTTAAAGTTAAATCTTCACCATCTGAAGAGGCTCTGGTAGAAGAGGCCCCTTTTGAAGTCCAGTCTCCACCATCTGAGGAGGCTGTGAGAGAAGAGGCCCCTGCTGAGGTTCAGCCTCCACCATCTGTGGAGGCCCCTGCTGAGGTTCAGCCTCCACCATCTGAGGAGGCCCCTGCTGAGGTTCAGCCTCCACCATCTGTGGAGGCCCCTGCTGAGGTTCAGCCTCCACCATCTGTGGAGGCCCCTGCTGAGGTTCAGCCTCCACCATCTGAGGAGGCCGTGAGAGAAGAGGCTCCTGAGGAAGCCCAGCCTCCACCATCTGAGGAAGCTGTGGTAGAAGAGGCCCCTTCTGAGGTTCAGCCTCTACCATCTGAGGAGGCAGCAACAGAGGAGGCCCCTGAGGAAGCCCAGCCTCCACCATCTGAGGAGGAGGCTACAGAGGAGGCTCCTGATGAAGCCCAGCCTCCACCATCCGAGGAGGAGGCTACAGAGGAGGCTCCTGATGAAGGCCAGCCTCCACCATCTGAGGAGGAGGCTACAGAGGAGGCTCCTGAGGAAGGCCAGCCTCCACCATCCGAGGAGGAGGCTACAGAGGAGGCTCCTGAGGAAGCCCAGCCTCCACTATCTGAGGAGGAGGCTACAGAGGAGGTTCTTGATGAAGCCCAGCCTCC